ATTGCCAGCTCCCCTGAAACCTCCCATGTTGTTAATTTCAAGTCAAATATTACTACGCCACTGGTCCTAGTTCTGTTTTCAAACACCAATAACTCGATAACTTCACTTGCGGCAAAAATGAAGGCAATATATATTCGTGTTCAACATGCAAAATACTACTAGAAAAAAGGGTATATAAAACGTGCGCATAAGACGTGTGCATACGTAAAAAAAAAACAACCAAATTCTTCTTTCTGGAACTAGAACATCTGAACAGCTTGCTCACGGAATACAATGCATGAGAAAAGAACGGACAAAAAAAACCCAAAAAAAAAACAACAACCCCCCAAAACAACAACATCCAGCAGTGGCATCTCTTTGGGGGAGGATTCAGGGAGGTTGGACTGCCTCACCCGCTACCCAAAGGAGGCGGTGGCATCTCTTTGGGGGAGGATTCAGGGAGGTTGGACTGCCTCACCCGCTACCCAAAGGAGGCGGTGGCCCTGGCAAAGAGCATGCTCTTCGGGGCTCCAAACATTTCGAACGGATAGGCTACCACACACACACACACAACAAGCATAACAACAAAAATCACGGAAGACCAAACCAGTTTTGTGATTTCATTTTGTCTATTTGAATTTGATAGTTTCCTCGCAATCTTGGGAAACCTGGTCAGGGGGACTGGGACCATGTGTGTGTGTGTGTGTGTGTGTGTGTGTGTGTGTGTGTATTTGTCTGTGCATGTATGTGTGTGCGTGTGTGTGTACGTGTGTTTATGTGTGTGTGTATATGTGTGTGTATGTGTGTATATGTGTGTGTATGTGTGTATGTATGTGTGTATGTGTATGCGTATATGTGTGTGTATACGTGTGTGTTTATATGTGTGTATGTATATGTGTATGTATGCGTGTATGTATGTGTATGTGTATGCGTATATGTGTGTGTATGTGTGTATACGTGTGTGCGTATATATGTGTGTGTATGTGTGTTAGTGTGTATATGTATGCATGTATGTGTGTGTGTATGTGTATATGTATGTGTATGTGTGTGTGTATGTGTATATGTATGTGTATGTGTGTGTGTATATGTATATGTGTGTGTGTATGTCTGTGTGTATGCGTGTATGTGAGTGTGTGTACTATACAGAACCAGCTAGCCCTGCCCCCAGCCAGTCTCCACAACAACCTGCAAGGTGAAATCTACAACATGATCACATTCACTCCATCCCACACACACACACTCACTCCATCCCACACACACACACACACATACACATTCACTCCATCCCACATACACACACACAACACACACATAAACAAGGTCACACTAAACTCCATCACAAAAATACAGTAGGCCACTCTCTGCTCTCTCTCTCTCTCACACACACACACAAACTAAATAAACACACACATACTTACACATATAAACACAAACTCACACACATACATAAACTAAATAGACATGCACGCCCATGCTCACATATATTAACATCCACACACACAAATAACATATACTTACATAAACATAAACACACACACACAAATACACATACATAAACACATCACATACATTCATACACACATACATGATACAACAGGCTCACACACACACACACACACACACACACACACACACACACAAACAAGCACACAAAAAGACACATACACAAACCTACACAGCCATTCAGGGACACACACGTATGATGGTGTTTATAAACACACATACACACACACAAACACACACATACGCACGTAAAAACACAGAAAGGCAATATAATTATTAAGTATACTCCAACACACACAGTCACATTCAAACAAATTGCGCACCCATGCACACACATTTACAGGCAAATTTATATATATAATATATATATATATATATATACATAACATAATAAGACCCACAAACAGCCTGTCAGCGTCAATAATAATATCCTTTACAATAAATGTGACAAGCCTGGGTACACACAGACAAAGATACAAGTACAACTGGGAGTCTCACAGACCAGGAGACTTTTGGTAGCCGCGTAGTTAACAAGAATCACAATGATGGAAGAACACTACAACACGAACCAACGCACACGTGCACGCACGTACACAGACACACATACATGCACACACACACATATGCACGCACGTACACAGACACACAAAGTATAAACTCACAACGAAACACCACTTAAATGTTTTATGACACCTGAACACTTCAACATATCCCCACCTACCTCCCCTCCTCCTCTCTTGTTCTTCCCTCCCAACTTCACTCTCTCCATCTTCTTCCATTCTCTCTTTCTTCTCATCTTCCCCCCTTCACTCTCTCCGTCTTCTCTACCCCCCCCATTCTCTCTGTCTTCTTCCATTCTCTGTTTTCTTCTCTCCCTCCCGCTCTTCATTTCCCCC